TAATATAGAAATACTACAGAAATGAACGTGAAAGTGGACAGACCTTCACCATCTATGTGGATGTTTGTCCCTAACCTCTCTGCAATCTGATGTTGTAATAATGAAACAAGATAATGAACAGAGCTGGTCAGAAAGGCAGCTTACGGAAACAAAACCGTATACCTGTGTGCAGGCACGCGCATACAAACACACATACACCGAGCAGCTGCAAATGTTCAAACTCTAGAACAACCTGAGGAAAGTGTTTTAACTGGCGTGAAGGCTGGCAATTTATATCACCTAATTCTCACAAACAAGCCTTTGAAGTCTCTACCACCACAAAGCACTTCAAATCACTCATTACTCACAAGAAGCAGTTAATCACAACTTTTAAATGTCTTTATGGTATTTTCTTCTGTTCTGGACCCGTATCTGTGATTTATTTCAAAGGAGTAACTTCTCATTGCCAAGAAAGAACATATACCATGTTGTCAGATCTTCTGGCTTGCTACTTGAACCAAAACTTTGCTAAACTACTCCAAAAGTCCAATTATTTAATTGCATTGCTCTGGTACAACAGCAATGAAGTCATCCTTAGGCCACTGTAACTCTGTTTCCCATCCTGCTGTTTATCATGTAGTTCTCTCACATCATTACCTCTGCCTCATGTGCCTTGTTACACTACTCCCCTCTTCCCTATGCTGTTCTTCTGTATTTCTGGTGTACCCCATTAATCCTGAAGAGCTGTTTAGTTGGGACCTCTTCCAGCTCACTTTGAAACACAGGAGCATAAAGAAGCATGCGGACAATGACCCCAAGCCCATCTCTTCACAGAGCTGTTGGGTCCTGTTTTCTTTGAGAACTGTATTGGATGAAGGCTTCTGCTACCTTCTTACCCATTTTAGCTACTGGTCTGGGTGCCTTAAAGTTTCTGCCTGCTCTTACTATTTTCACTGACAGCATGGGGGCCATTCCAAACATCCTACTTCCATCCCTGCCTCTCCACTGACTTTGGCCCTGGCAAATAAGGGGACATAAGCAATGCTACCACAAGAAATTTAGCAGAATATCCGAGCACCAGAGGTGGGAAGTTAAGGCCAACAAGTTCATGGGTGTAGAGCAGCGGACCACATCTAACTGTGGTTTGAACCTCCACAGGTCTACTGAAAATAACATCTGTGCTCCATGGCCCAAGACAGTATAGTTTCAGTGGCAGGGCAAGCGTCACTGACGTGTGTCACTTCGGTCTGCCATCCCTGCAATTCAGCCTCTGAACAGTCCTTTCCAGCAGGAGAAAGCCTGAGCGACAATCCCTTTTACAAAACACCATATTAAAAGGTTCAAGCAGTATTTTGAATATGCACTGTTATATTTTGGTGACATTTTACAGACACGCAGCATTTGTTTGCAATTATTCTACGAGTGTAGGATTGAGTGCACACCTACACTTCATTTAATATACAGTGAATTGCATTCCCAACTCGGAGCAGATGTACAAAAAATACTGTGTCCCCATGTCATTCCTGATTAGCCAATTCCTGTAATTTTCACACAGTAAGCTCGGGATTTGCACTGGAGCATGGTTAGCAGCATGTGGCAGTTGCTGCAGCTCAGCTGGCAGAAAAGGTGCTATAAAAGAGGTGGTGTCTGCAACACAGAGGTGGCCTGCAGGTTGTGCCAGCTCTGTCAGTTTGGTGGACCTCAGTGCACAAATTTGAAGAGGAAAAAAAAAAAATAAACCCCACAAAAGAAATTAACTCTCGATGATCTGCCTTTCCCTTCTTAAAGTCAGCATTTTCTGTTAGAACTGATTCTGGAAGAGCAATATAAATCATACCCAGGAAGAGAGGCACCTACAGAAGAGCAAGTGCCAGCAGCAAATGTGTGCACCGACATAAATTAGGGTAAGCTGGAGGCATCCCGCAAATCCTACTTGGAGGGTGCCAGCAAACACCATCACAGCACCCTTCTTTCTGAGGTTTGTTTCACACTTCCTCCTTACTGCTAGTCAGAAGGTGATTTCATTTTGACTTTTGTGTTCCGCTAGCACACCTCCTTCTAATAAATCCTTTATTTGGTTTATATGAAGTGCCAATATTTGGGTAGTAAGAATGATCTTTTAGGTACCAGACTTTCTTGTAGCTGATGTGAAATAAGGTAAGCACAGAGCAATATTCTAATATTTGCACGGATGAGAGAGGAGGTCACAACGTGTTTTCATCTACTCGTGCTAGTATGCTCACTGACGTCAAAACATAGTTTGCATAAACATGACAAAGAAGCAGGATTTAACCCTCCATCAAAACCTCTGGAAACACTGAATTTGATTGGACCAGAAAAATAAGAAGCCTTATGAGAAAAATTACAAGTGTTTTTGCCTTGAGACAACATTGATCGGGGCAACGAAAGCCACAGGTTTCCTTCAGGAAGGCACTGAGGTCAGAAGGCTTCCATGGAGAGGGGCGGGAGTGCCTTCAGTTAACCTCTAGACTTTTGGGAAAGACGTCTTTTTGTTTCCTCTGGATCCAAAATCTCGGAACCAACACAGGTTTTTTTGTATCAGATCTGTTTTCCAGGATATTCCCATGCCCCTAAAATTTCTAAGGTATAAACACATTAAAAACTGGGGTAGTCATTAGGATATGTGGATTGGAATAAAACAGGATGCAGACACAAATTCAATGCTATTTCAAGACTTGTGGTGGTAGCAAAAATGTGTAGAGATTTGAGCAGGAGTTCTCTCGCTGGTTTTGGCGAAATGCCCAGCTAAGCCCTGACAACACTCGAGGTTTTCTAAAGGTAATTTTCTGTGATTATAGCACGAAACACACTCAGCTGCTCTCACATCTTACTTTGTGTACCACCTTATCAGAAAGCAGAGGGCTGGACTTATTACTATTATTAAATGATAGAATTATCATCATCTTAGTTTCAGAGCCACCAATTGTTTCTTTAAATTTTACATTTCAGATGCTGGTAAATAGTCGTTGCGATAGTAAGGCTTCTGCTGAAGTTTGCATACCAGAGCAACTGTTCTAAACAATCAATTACACATACTGAAAACTAAACACTGCAACCAGCCCCATCCTTCCTAAATTGATCCCAACCAAATACATTTAAAAATGAACCACACGATGTCTCACAGGCCTGTACAATCCAAAAGCAGATAGTTGGAAATACAATTTGATTCTGAACCAAATTTTGCTTTAGCATGCACTGTAGGACAATTGAGTCATTGTTTCAAATCAGAAACAGAGTTCAGCGAGAATATAAAAACCACTGACCTTTCTTGGCTAGATTACTGTTGGGTTCATACTTCTCAATCAGTTGTTGAACCTGTTCTTGTTTTAACGGTGGATAAAGGATTTCATTTAATCGTGGGTCACGTTGCTTAAAATTTATAAATTCCATCATCTGATCAACAGTAAGGTACGGTTTGCTCTTGGCTCCACTAGAGAAAAATTAAAGCAACAGCAAAGCCATTAAAATGCATTTCCTTGAAATCTTGTTCAATGTTCTGTAACTTCCCAGGGAAACCAAAACAAGATTCAAAATATTGTACAACAAAAACTGTCCCACTGTGTCTCTGGACTAATTTACTTTGCCAGTATGTAACGACAAACATTCTTCATCAAACATCTAGGTGTAAGACTTTTAAAAGCATTCAGCATTACTGACATCAATGGGAAGAGTTAGAGCAATGCTAAAAGCTTTTCATTCCTCTGAATTCCTGGAACTAAGCAATCTGAAAAAGTAAAAGAGAAAGCGACGTGGAATTCAATCCTGAGCTTGCCACAAACACTCTGCTGGCACTCCTGGCCCAACTATTTGGTTTTACTGCTGAATAACATTATTAATTATTAAGGCTGACTTCATTATTCCAGTATTTGCTTGGGTTTGGTTTTTTTTGTTTTGTTTTTTTAATAAACCTGCTAAAAAAATGCTAGGCACTCTGCAAAGCAAGCAAAAAGATGCCTATTTAGAGAGTTAGTAAAAAGAGCAGAGTTTGGGAACAATTTGTACCAGAATGGAGACCCAGGGAGCCTCCAAGCCGGGTGACATGCTTAGGGTTGTCTGCAGCGCACGGGACTGGCCTACTTCTACTCTGCGAGAGAGCAATGGAAAGTTTACCCCCAGGTTCAATGGGTGCAAACTAGGCCAAGGCTACATTTCTCTGAAACCTCAACTGTTGAGAAAATTAGCACAAAAGGCGTACATGAGCACACCCATGTTGCAAAGATACGTTCACTAATTGCTTTGGTGGTCTTGGGATGTATTTTGGAAATTACATTGCTTTCTTACTGCTTCATGTTCTGACTCCATTGAGCAGGCTCTGCTGAAACTGGGAAGTACAATGACTTGCTGCAAGGGGTAGAAGCAACACGAGTTATATAGCTTGTAACCGAATGTATGAAATCAGTTGTAGCTGGCTGCTAATTTAATTTCACGGTGTGAATTCATGATGCACGAATCTTAAAAGTTACTGCATTTTTTGCAACTCCCAATTAAGCTTTTGGGGGTGATTATACATATTCTCATGCCTATTGCATGCTGTTACTGCTTATTACTCTTCTTCCTTTACTTTCACGGAAGCCTAAACTATCCTAATCCATACAGAAAAACAAGACCCAGCAGTTCTGCCCCTCTAGGAACAAATTACTTTAAAACTCTGGCCATTAGAACCAGAGGCAAAAGCCTGGGAGAGAAGGAACCCATGACCAAGGTTAAATAACAGCTCTGCTTGACACTGAAATCTGTTCTTGGCAATTGCTGCATGGTGCTGTAGTCTAAATAACCTACTTTGCCATCCCTAGCCCAGAAAATCAGTGAAGGGGAAAAAAAAAAGAGAAAAATAAATGAGCGCCTTTTCTTACAACTCTGAAAAGATGTGGTCGATCTCAGGCCGAGGGCAGAGGTTGTTTAAGAACACCCTGTACACGTCTGGCGTGAAGTCATCTTGAGGGATTGAATCATTCTGCAAAATGGGGAAAAAATAGTGAAAGAACGATACAGCACTTGTATACACTCTTTGTAAACAGATCACTCACTACTGCACTTCTTTTGATTTGCTTCCTGCAACCTAGAGGAGCCTGGATTTTGCAGAATAATAAATTCCCCTGAATAACAGAGCAGCTTAAAGAGTACATCTTTAAAAAATATAAATACATTCATCATCTTAGTTTCCACAAGGCAAAGTTATTTCTCTCAGCACCTGTGAAGAAGAAAGAAAGGACATCTCCGCATCTAACCCCATTATCTATAGCATAAATAGGTAAATCAATCCTGATGAAGGCTCTGAGCTGAGTCCCAGCGGAGCGGCGGACCAGCGGTGCTGAGCCCGCGTGCTCCAGCGAGCAAAACGGCAGCGTTACAGAGGGCGAGCACGTTACTCGTCTTTCGAAAGCTTTCAAAGAACCGGGGAATGAACTGGGTCACTGAGTCATTATTAATACTCTTGTTCTCTGACAGCAGCAGCAATGTTTCCTTTTCCTTCCTGAAGATACATGTTCAAGATACCGCAATTCTGGGCAAGACTTACACAGTGTAGCTTTTCCGTACATCTTTGTCCTAAACGCTCAGTGTAATGTATTTGACAATCGGATTTCTTCTGCAGAAATTGATAAAATTGCTCTCCTGCATTAGAGGTACCAGCATTTTTTTCTTACATTTCCTAAAATTTAGAACAATTTACATTTAATCCTGCTTCTAGATGACTCTTTCATCATCCCCATTATACCTGCTGGCTTTTCTCTGAAAAAATAGAATTACTGGTTTTAACTGGAGGGAATTACTGGACTGGATAAGGAAAACAGTTCTTTGCATGAAGCTCGAGAGCCCTCCTCCCACTTGCACACGCTGCCTTCAAGCTCCAGAGTTTTTGCAGAAGACAGCAAGGACAGCTTCTTTAGCGGAGCTGGGAAGAAATGAGGACCCCGAGGAAGGTGCAAAGCTTTCTTCAGCACACAACAGTGATGGTGTGTTCACTGGCTTCTGCCTTTGCATCAGTACATGGAGAAAGGAAAATGGCACGGAAGCTTGTGTTTTGTGGAGAGGAAACCTTATAAAGGAACAAGAAAAAGGAAAACACCAAAAAAGTGAAATACAAATACTGAAAATCTGCTTTTTGAGTCTCCTCCACACAAGGTAACTTTATCAAAAGCTACGACATGGAGTCTCCGGGAGCACCATGGGTCTGTATGACACCGTCTCCACAGCTCCCAAATAATGCCTGCATCTGATGAACTGGAGGAGGAAAACTGTAACTTGGACACAAAGCTGTTTGCTTTTAAACACCATTGAACCTGGTCGCCTCAGAAGCAAGTTGCTGATAGAGGAAATTGTTGCTTTTATTTATTCTGCCTCTTTAATGCTGTTGCCAAGGGAACCGGAAGCGTCATTTCAAGCCTTTGTTACACAGAAGGAAACTTTTCAGTATTTTTCCTACTTTAGGTTAAAATAAATAAATAAGTGAATGCCACAGGCATCACTTTATCTCTCCGTTCATCTATGAAACCTGCAGAGGCCGGAGAGAGTTTTGTAGCATGACCATCGCCCAGTGTTTCTGTCCACAAGCACAGACTGAACCGGACCCAGTTCATGCTTGGACCAAGTTGGGCTGCTTCCCTGCTCCACCTGGGTACCCACCTCCGGGCTCCAACAGTCTAAGGTCACCAGCCTTTAGATCCTTGTGCCTTCCTTTTTTTGGCAGACTGCGAGTGGTTGCAGGGTGAACTGGTTCAAAACTCACCTGGCCAAAACAACCCTGTGCACTTTACTGTGGGATCAGCTCGCTGAGCCAGGTAACTCGCCAACAGCACAACTGCTAAATCCAGTGCAAGGGTGCATGGAGACGTTTGTAACCTGAAGTCGGAGGATGGAAATAGCTCCTTTCAGCAACAGCCACAGGCGATACAGCTACATGTGAAACTGCATCTACTACACTTTGACAAATTTGAGCTGCGGTGTTCTTGGTTGAGAGTAGAACTGCTGATACTTGTGTTTTCCTGAAGGCCAGGATTCACAAAGCTTGTGAATTTTCTTGTTATAGCTGGCACACCACCCTCCTCTGTTCCCTGTACCTACAATCCCTATTCAGAAGGCTACTGCTCCTCAGCCAGCACTTCTCCTAAGGGCATTTTAGATGTTGATTCTGTAATTACCACAAAATTACAGTCTCCCATTGACCTAATATATATTTTTTTCCTTTACAGGGAATTTGAAGGTACTCAACACTGAACAAAATGTGGGTCTTTTCCAATAACCCGAGATCCAGGCTTTCATTTGCCACTTGGTTCCAATTAAGAAAATATACCTGTTTCCCAACACGTATCTACAAACGCCTATCTACAAAGAGGATAACAAACAGAAGTCTTCAGGCATAAGTACAGATCCTTTGAATAATTATTTCCTACTGGTAACGTTACCAATGGGCTACAAACCACAGAGATCTAGATGGGAGATGAAAGCCTTGCTGCAAGCATTTGCCACCCCAGGCACAACCTCAGACAACTATATTTGGATTCCAAAAGCCTGCCTGCCGAAAACGATTAAAATATGCTGCCCCTTTCCTCAGCCTGGTCTGAGCCATCCACGTTTCAGTGGAACCACCCACACACCTTATGCGCTAATCTCTTTTTTGAGATCAATGAACAAATGACAAATTTTCTGTACCACATGAAAGCATCCCTCATTTCCAGCTTTGCTGAATATTGGCATTCAATTTTATCCTGTGATTAAGACTCTCTACTAATTTCAAGCACTGCTGATTTATGATTTGTCTGGTAACCTGCCTGCTTTTATAACATCTGTATCCAGTCTGTTATATATTCGGCACCACAACAGCTAATTCATATTGTTTGCACAGTCGGGACTCAACAGCTGGTTGTTTTATTTTAAGTTAACAGTCAAGCTCACTGGTGCTTCATTGTGAACCTCTAAATTAACTGGAAGGCAGAAACCAGTCTTCACAGCTAAACAGGTGACTAAAATAAAGCTCTTCAAATTCTATTTAAGGCACCTTTGACTAAAACCAAAACAAACAAAAATACCCAACAATAACAAAAAGCACTCCCCCCCTCCCCCAAAAGTAGCCAAGATTTTTAAAAAATAATAGGGGAATCATCTGCCCAACTAAAAACTCACTGGCATATTTTAAAACTTCATTTAAACATTTATTTAAACATTCCTCTGCCTTCAGATCTGCTGGATGATTCTATGATTCTATAAATGCTGCCGAAAATCAGATCACACAGGGTTTGGTCCTGCAAGACTCTAACACATACCAGGTCTGACCCAGAAATCCATAAATAAAAAAATCCACACTTTGAAAATGTGCTTGACTTGAAGTCCATGGGTCATCCCACTGCAGTCATGCTCAACTGCTCAGCCGAATGAGGGCTGGAGTGCTCAGTGCTGCAGAATCATAGAATCGTTTAGATTGGAAAAGACCTTTAAGATCATCAAGTCCAACCATTAACCTAACACTACCAAGTCCACCACTAAACCAATTAAGGGTAAAGTAAGAATTAATTTCATGTTTCCTGGCTTGGTGGCTGGATTATTTTTTAATGAAAGTAAAACTAGGAATCATTAAGGTTGGAAAGGATCTCCAAGATCCTCAGTCCAACCATCAACCCAACACCACCATGCCCACTAAACCATGTCCCTAAGCACCACATCTACATGTTTTTTAAATACCTCCAGGGATGGTGACTCCACCACCTCTCTGGGCAGCCTGTTCCAATGCTTGACCACTCTTTCTGTGAAGAAATTTTTCCTAATATCCAATCTAAACCTCCCCTGGCGCAACTTGAGCCCATTTCCTCTCATCCTATCGCTAGTTCCTTGGGAGAAGAGACCAACACCCACCTCACTACAACCTCCTTTCAGGTAGTTGTAGAGAGCGATAAGGTCTCCCCTCAGCATCCTCTTCTCCAGACTAAACAATCCCAGTATCCATCCCTTACTAAGGTCCCTAAATATGAAATAAAGAGTTTATTTTGGGCACTTCTGGGGAGCCTCTCTGGTGCTATTCTTCTACAGCAGGATGAAGGCAATTATCCAGGCAATGAGAACTCTTCCTCCTCTCGCACTAAATACGGCGCCCTACATATTGCCCCACAAGGTCTCCTGGCAAGCACACACAGAGCGAATTTGCTAAAGAGTAGGGCTAGCAGATGCAGACATTTGTACCGTCACAGACAAGTCCATGCAGTGGTACTATCCCCTGGCAGCATAGCCCAGGCTGCCCTATGCTCAGGTCACTGCGTGAGATATATGAGGGACTGTCCCAACCTTGAAGCTATGAATCAGGAAAAGAGTGATACATGCTGACTTGGCATCCTCTTACCCGTGACTGCAAATTCCATTTTGTGTTTTAGGATCATCCACAGATTCTGCGAGGTGCAGCAAAACATTGTGTGAAACTCATGGGCAACAAGCCTTGTATCTTCCTAAGCGATGAGAAGTATGTTTTTTTCTATGAAACTTGGAGAGAAGACCCTTAGAGCGATCTTCATGAAGCATGAATAAAAAAACACCCAAAAAGCCTAAGCTGTTAATGTCCGTGAGAGACTTTCATGAATTCTCTGAATAATTTGGTGTGGTTTTACTGAGGAAGATTCCCTGATATTCATGTCTTGCATGTTGTTGGGAATCCAGTGCTCTTCAAGGCTTTGCAGGAACACCATTTGCCCTGTAGTACAACGGGGCAGAAAAGCTTGAAGTTGAAGTTAAGAATTTTACTTGTTCAAATAAACAGGAACACAAAGGAAAAGAGCTGTAGTTGAAGAACTGATTTTATTCTACTCCATTACCTCTAGGAGATTCAGAGTTTCATGCTTTTAAGCACTTAACTTCTAAAATATGTTTCTCAAAGATGATCAACACAGTTTTCTTTGTTGCATGAAGCATATTTTTCTTTTGTCCCAACCATAGAAAGGCTCTACTTTATACTATGAATAATTTTCAAGATGGTATCCCAGCAACAAGTATCCAGCAACATGTATGTGTAATTGACTGTACTTAAATAAACAGCAGAAAAAGGTTGCAGTTTCTTTCAAGGACTCCAGTGATGTTTAGATTTTTTCCCAGAGATATGTGGTAAAGAGAAGTAATAAATCACTAATTTAAAAAGCAACGCATCAGTGATTTTTTTTGCACATCTTATCTTGTTTGCTAACAATTAAATGAAACCCCAGCTTTAAAATTATTCTTTCCATGTGGCTAACCTCACAACCTTACTTTAGATAAGATTATTATAATCTTTTCTATCTACTTTACAGACATTCCTTGGAATTTTACAGAATCAAGCTACCAGCCTATGAAGGAAGGTCTCATTGGTAAGGGGTATCTGAGGTTTGGCTTGTGAAGATTTTGCTCCATTGCTCTTCTGGAGCTGTAGGAATTGGCTGTATGCAGGAACCATCGGGGAAGCAAAGGTTGAGCAACATCATAGCACAGTTTTCTACAAGAGTGAGGGATTAGGAAATGCAGGCTCCCCTCTGCTGCAGACTAGTTCTGCCCCACCTCTTTGACCTCCGAATGTAGGAATTATCCTGCAAGAAGCTTCCTGGAGGAGAAGCTCCACCTGGGAGGAAAGACTAAAGACATCTTCACTCCAGCGTTAATTAGAATTAGCTGCTTGAGCTCGTTCCTCTTGAAAAAAGCCTTCTTGAGGGTGAGGTACCATCCTGCAAATGCTCCAGGCTGAGGAGAGCTCCTGGATTAGCTGCATACAATAGCTGCATCCCCGCAGCATTAACAGCTTTGACACTATAGCATTTCAACATTTACTCCATGCACCTTTTAGATAAGCTACGGTGAGTTTAAATTCTCACTTAACTCAAGCTACAGATTTTTTTTTTTTTTTTTTTGGTGAGAAGGAAACATATTACACCATTAGCTACACCTCGAGCTAAGACTGCTCTGAAATCATGCCTTGAAAATTGTGCAACAGTCACCAATTCTTAAAATATTCTCACAGGATTTCTCCAGGACAGGTCACACACCCCGCTGCCCTTTCCTTTAATCCATTTGCACTTCTTCCAGGCACTCCTGGTCCCTACACAATTTCAGATCAAAGGTACTCAGATTTGCAGATGGGTATCAGGAACTTCTGTGTGGGAAAGACAGACCTGCTGCTGAGGACCTATCCAGAAGCAAAGCCAGCACAGCATGATCAGCCTCGAACAAATTGCCCTCAACTCAACAGGGAGTAAACACCGCCGAATACAAGCAACACTTTATACGGGCCAGGAATAAATTCAGATGCTTACCCTAGAAGATGGAAGATTACAAGCTTCTAATGCAGTCTCTACTCGTTTTCTGTCAGCGGAAAACAAGCGGTATATGCTGCAAAATGAAGACAAACCAGAGCGAATTGGCTTACAGACATGCCTCTCCACATTACCGCAGTGATATGCCATTTGAATATATTTATCCTCACATGTCTCTGACATCTCAAACATATATTCACACTAAAAAGTCAGGAGACTACATAGTAAAGAAGGGGAACAGAACTTACTTCTTCAGAGGAATGCGCCCTTCTGGAGTCACCTGCAGCTTAAGTTTTGTGTAACTGTGGAGAGAAAAGCATCCTGTTTTATTTTTACAGCATTTTCAAGTACGTGTCCACCAACTTTACAGCAATCAGGTGGCAAGTTCCACTCATCTCTTTTGCCCGATATGAAAACCTGTTGGGATACTATTAATCAGTAAATACCTTTTCCATCAACAGTATTGCACCTGTAGCGTTAAATACTGCCTGTCTTGCAACAGGACATTGCAAATACCATTAATGCATGACTTTGTCATCCCCCCAAGCTCCTTCTCACCCAGGCTGCCTGCCAGTCTATCAGCAGACCGAATTGTGGCACACAGGCTACACAACTTGACTGGAAAGGTGGCTGTACTCCTCCTCTTCCAGGGGCTTAAACCGTCCCTGGATGTTGCACACCAACATCCCTGCCTCCTTAAGCCCTCCCCATCACACACCTGTGAAGGTTTCTCTGTTTGACCCTAAATGCTGTCACCCCTCAGCTGGAAGGAAGTCAAATCGCTGGCAACTGAAATGTCTCTGCACCAACAAGAGTGCCAGTATACTTAGCAGCCCTGGGCAAGCCCAAGACATTTCTGGTGTGAAGCAATATAAAAGTTACATGCTGAAACTGTCTACAGGCAGGCAATTATCCAGCTTTTGAACTGAGTATTTAGAGCATCTCAATATCTCAGGACCTGTGACTTCTCTTGCATGCTCATTAAGGCAGCAGGATGAGCACGTATCTTCCTTTGTCCAAATCTTTCAATGAATTGATTCAAAGCCTACTGAAACAGGAGTCCTCCAATAGCTTCAATGAGAAGCGGTTGGGCCTACAGCTGCTACCTGATGATCCTCCCGATATGCAAGGACTGCTAGTTACCAGCATAATGTCTACCAGCAGCAGCCTGCAAAGAGCACAACTTTTTGAGTGCTTCATCTCTTCCACTCAAATATAATTAAAACCATGAATGAGTTTTGCAGTAGCATGATCTGGTGAAAAATGTGTCAACACGTAAGTATTTCAGAGGATTATCTTATTTATTTATTTTAAAAACTTTTTCACTTTACCCACTGGCCTACCAAAAGAAAAAGAAACTGCATGGTTCTAATAAAATTTCCTTTTCTTCCCAACCAAAAATGCATTTAGCAACTGCTTCAAAAACAAAATACATGCTAATATCCCTAGCTAGGATAGGAACATTTTCACACATCCTTGTCTCCTCATATGCATCTTCTGGAAACTGAAATCTCTTGTGCTACTGTGTCACCAAACAAAAATATTATCCCCCCTGGCCCCACCTCCCAGCACTGAGCTAGATTTAAAAGAAAAAAACAAAACAAAAAACACCCCCAAAAAAAGCACAGCTGTTAGTAAAAAAAAGGTTTCTTTTATTTTGCCTTCTATTTTTTTGAAACTTTTGAGTTCATTCTGGTCACATTTAATGTTTTCCTCTACAGCCAAGAAAGCTAGAAAGAAAAGAAAACCACGCATGTTATTCCTGTTAAAAAGCTTGCTAAGAGATACTCCCATCGGTAGCAGCCGAATGGACTCGTTTCAGTAGTGCAGCACTGACTCCAAGAACGACAAACTCTGGCCGCAACGCTGACCCAAGGTTCCCACAGTAGAGTCACCCTTTGCTCATTACTGCACTGGTCAGTATTTCAGTACTAATGTACTCCGGTGTCCATTTTTGCACCCCAACACAAAAATACACTGCGTGATTACAACAGAAGAATGAGCACTCTATAACCAAAACGGCACCTTTTATTAACCACCCCTCCTCCCAAATTAACCCTATTTTTCTCATCTGACCAACCCACAGGAGAGCTGCTCAAGCTGTTCATTATTGCACTTCCAACGCTGCAAGGGACTGAATGCCACAAAGAAAAAAAACCTTTCTAATTCTGCTCTAATGCAATTTGCTTTTCCATTTCAACAAAAGGGTTCTGACAGGTCTGCAACCAACCCTTTGCCTAGTACAGTAATTATAACAGGGAAATAATTTTTATCTTCAAAGTCAAAGATTTCTTAAGTGACTCTGATTTGACAACTGTGCAGAGGACCCTGGAAACCCAACAGTCCCCAAGTGATTTATTAATTAGTGGAAAAAGAAAAGACACAGGAATGCCATGCTTGCCTGCTACTGAATCTATGCAGTATGTCCAGCGACTTCATCTTTAATTAATATTGCTTGAACAACCACAGAAAAATGGCTCCAAATAAGACCGCTCTACTATACTGTGTGATAACATGTTCCTCCTGCGAATCTGGTATGAACACACCCGTTAGGTACAGGCACAATCCTCCCCATTACAGGCCTGTCAGCAAAGTCTGCTGGCCACCGGTGGATTTGAGTGGCAAGGGCCATGGAAATAGTAATATCAAATCACTTCCATAGCTCATCCACAACCTATGAAGCTGAAGGAAGTCACTCCGCTCTTGCTCTCACACCTCGGTCTGCTCAGGTTAGCACAGTGCTTTCTCTACTGTCAACATGCAGAGCAAAAAGGAAATGTTAAATGTTTCCATCCATTTGGGATTTTGTTTGCCTAATACATCGTTGCTGTCCCAACACAACATTATCAGACACAAAGCTGTAGTTCCTGCAACCTTCAAAGTTTCTTCAAGAATTTCTGTTGACTTCAGCTGCACCACAACAAACGCTATAAGAAGGAAACACACAGACACACATCCTTCCCAGAACAGGCACTTAAGAATACATAAGACAGAATTCAAGTTAAGCAGTTGGGAACCTTCTGGCTAAATATGGGTGCTGCTACTGAAATTAGGCATGCACAGCCTTAGACAGTCTGGAAAAAGGGTGGGTTAACTTGCTTCTTGGATGGAGGCAAGTTTTAGGAACCTAAGCCCTGGCTTGGTATTTAGCTGGACTGAGCCTCTGTCTGTGGGCAGAAATTAAAAGGTGTTTTGGGGGAGACACAAAGCTGAATTTAAGCAGCCAACTAGTAGGCTGGGGAGGGTACATCTTCTCTTTTAGAACCCCAAAAGGCCAGCAAGTACCCCGGTTCATTACCATCACTATCTGGTAGGCTTTGCCATGTTCTCAACGCTACCACTTACGCAAAACTCTCTCAGCGTGTGCACTTATCCAGTTGAGAATCGCTAATCTCAGGTTCAGTTCTCTTTCCTTTCGGAGGTGTGTTTTTACACCCCAAATGTTCTCATAAATAGCTTTTCTGCTTTGCTGAAAGCAACTCAGAATCTATGCACTGTGCAAAGCAGTCTAGATGAACGGATTCACAGCTTCCCTCTGAATCACGTGAAAACCAGAGAGATTAGGCTAAGGAAAATGGACTTCTTGCATTTCTCATTTTTTGATCAATAACAGAAAGAAGGGAAAATAAACAAGAAGCAAGTCACTCCAGAATATTCTTTCATTTTAAATGGAGACCTTCAGACTACAGCTGAAGCTACTACTTCTGTATACAAGGGGAAGATGGCATTTAATTCTGTTTTTTTGCTATGACTTAGTAGTCTGCAAGAACCCTAACAAGGTTTTTGTTTAAATGACGTTTAGATAACAGGGTTTTTAAAACCATGAGAAAGGACAGCCTGTATTTACAAAAGTGACAACTCATCAAAGCAGAAACAATAGATGACAGTATGACTAACAAGAAAAGAGGAAAATGACGCAGAGAAAAGAGCAACACCCACAGCATTAAATACGATGGCCACTTACGCTTTTTCCAGAAATGCGTCCCTCGACATGTTCTGTGCCAGCAAATTTGTTGCCAAACTGAACACTTCATCTGACCATTCCTATAGAGAGAAAATTTGATTAAATGAGGCTTCATTTAGATGTTTACTTACACAATGCAAAATATTTTTGAAAATTATATCATTAGTAAAAAGAGCCTAATTTAAGTCTGAACTTGATTTTCCCAATTACAGCTTCCTTCGTTGTCTGAGACCTGATTTTCTCATGCTGAAAAAAAAAAAAAAAGGAAGACTGTTACAATTTTTTTCTTTACAGATATCCTATTCCACTGAATTGGAAAAAGAAAAAATCATATGGATAAATGTCTGATGCAGAACACATTCAAGCTCCTGGGAGATGCGCAATAAATGCCGCAGAAAAAGACATTTTCTTCTGTGTTGGACACTGGTCTGGTTGACACACTAAGGATTAAAAAAGGAGCCTCTGTACCACCGTTCTTCTAGAATGAAGCTGAAATGGGCTTAAATCCCTCTGAAGACAGACAGACCCAGCAGAGTGGGATACAGCCCATACCACAGCAAGTCTCTTGCTTCTGTGTCCCCTCTTGTGAGGGCTCGTTGTGAGAGCCTCCGCATCACACTCTCTACAAATCATGAAGCAATTCAGACAACAAATATCCTGCTTTGTCTTTTATGGTGGATACCGAATTAAGAACTGTAAGTACTGAGTCTATCTAAGATCTTACCAGCCAACATAAGAAACACACTTAAAAAAACCAAACCAGCAGAAATATAGAGAAATAAATGTAAATTATTCTGATATTCAAGGAAGAAGATGCAACTCCAACTAGAAAAGCTCCTCTTCCCGCTACCGTACATCCTTATACTTTGGTCCTATCCCTTGCTAAATTATTTTTCCCCCTTGCTACCCTGACGTAGGGAAGAAATGTCCTCCAGCTGCTCACTGGACACCTCCCTTATCCGCCTGCAGGCACTGCTCTTTCCATGGCTCTCCCTCACTTTTCCTCCCTTTATTTTCCTGACTTATTTTTCTCATTTCTATGCATGTTGCTGAAGCCCTTCCCTTAGGTCTGGGTCCCTTTCTGGGTTCCTAGCAAGGCTGATCCACAGTTAAAATCTGAAGTTTAGACTCTCACCATTTATCCCATCTCTCCCCTCCCTGGCAAATCTCTCCTGCAGCTCTTCACCGACAACTTCAGCGCATTTGTCCTTCCTAACTTGGTGCTTGTTTACAATCTTTAATTGCAATCCTTTTTAATCACAAGCCTGGTTTTGGATTGGCTTTGTTTCACCAATTTGCAAAAGAAAGGAATGAAAATAAACAATGCCTTTGCAAACAGTGTGAGGGTTTTCTGTTTTTTTACTTGATGAAGTTTTCTGAGTTTTCTTTGAAAATAAAGTTAAGTTTCCTTTCATATCAGTCCAGATCCAAAATTCCCCATCACCACACACCCTCCCAGATGCATACTCTTTGGAGGTATTCCCTCGCCTTGGTTCTTCTTTTTCTTGAGGAAAGATTTCAAAAAAGGTGATTCCATTCTGACAAAAATTGATAATGATGAAAAGTATCATTGACTTCCAATGAAACAAATGTTGCTATGTCATTTTGGAGCTTACGAGCTTGCTTTACCTAAAAAGCCTCAAGTTTCCACATGACTAGGTGAGTGATTTGAGAGGTTCGGAAATTACAATTTTTTGTATTTTTTTTTAATGTGCTAAGATTTTTTTCCCTAAAGCTATCAGATCTTGTTCCTGAAACCGCTCTCACACAGTTGCTCCCAACGAGGGCAAGATAAGGCTACCTGTACGCCTGCTGTTACAAGGGCCTTTGATATCCTGCAGCTACCAGATCCTTAAGTCCACCCCATTTACAACCTCACCCCTAAGCAGCTGAGACAACACACCTCCCCGTGACTGGTATTTCTGGCAGAGAAACCATCCTCCCTCAGACACAGATTTGTTGTTCTGGAGATAAACCACTCTTGCTGAGATATTCCTCCCCTCTACCTCTCGTGACTGTTTCCACTTTTTTTTTTTTCTTTACTTGTTTTTCCTTCTTAGGTCTAATTTGAAAAAAGAAAAAACAGGGATGTGAGAAAGAACAAAAGCAGGAGCCGGGTTCATTAGCAACACCACTGCTTTGCTGTGACTCTTGGAACAGAAAGCATATTAAGTGCAGCATCTTTTTTTTTCTTCTTGGCAACTCATTTTTCCAGGCTCAAAATAGGTTCATCTTGTAAACACTGCTTTGCTTAGGCACTAATAATAGCCGTTAAAACGTCTCTCCGTGACACTAACGGCTGCAAAGATTAATGGCAACATAAAATACTATTTAGAAATTGAAAATATGTTGGCTTTTAACACATCTTGATAGACTTTGTTTTGATCTCACTGATTCTGCTGGGCTTAAAACTGAAGTATTTTGTAGAAAACAGAAGTAGGGCACTTCAGGAGTATCCCACACCCCAGCTCTTCCTTCTCTTTGTCCAGGCACTTGTTGACAGGAATGTAAGGGGAACTCAATTATTATGTGAATGTCACAAGCATTATTTATATGAACAGTCTTGCCATGTTCCCTTGCTAGCTTTTCCTGGCTTTTCAAGCGATCACATCGCTCTTGCCAAATATTCTAAGGGCTACCTGCAGGCTGAGCCATTTCTAACGACACAGGTGCCAAGTCAACAAGTCACAAGCAATACTTGGTCATTGCCTCTCTCATTTTAGGGTCTTCATTCCAGCTACCACAGGGCCGCAGCCAAAAAACCAAGATCAGAAAATATGCCAAGGATCACATCATCTTTCCAGTCACTGGTCTGAACCCTCAGCAGGAGGGGAAACAACAGGCCTGAGCACAGACCTGGAGAAATAAAGGAGATGCTTTAGACTGACTTTGATGGACTTGCATCAAGCTGTGAGCCAAGATACGTCTCGCCGCTTCAGCTACCAAATGGCTTTGTTTCCTTGGTTTTGCCGCATGGTACAGCATAAAGCCCATACTCTAACTCCATGCATGATGCACTCTGCAGCCGTCTTTACCAGCAGCAGTGATTCCAGAAGGCAACGCTCGGTGAGAGCACTCTGCGGGGTAGAAAGCTGTTATGTGTAGAAAGAAAACAGCCTACTGCGGAAAGGTTATAACAGCCTCTGAATCACTGCGGTAGCTGCAGACTCCTGTACAGATGCAATACAAAAGGAAACTATAAATCTGGGTATTTTGAAATAGGACTGTACTGGTGCCAACAAACTGTTTGCAGACTGGAAGCCTCTGATCCCGTTTGGTAGGGGCAGAACCCAGCCTTCCAACATTCAACTCCAAGCAAGTCAGATCCATCATGATAAGAGCTCCCTGGACTCGATCTCCTCTCCTGTTACGCTAATTCATATTTATATCATTCCTGTGAACTTTACTAACAACTTATTTAGCTGTTCTGCGCTTTGGCAGGTAGCACGTAAGCAGCAGTTCATTTGGAAATCTGTTGCCCAGTGAAGTAATTTCTCTCCTCTATTACATGCATCAGGATACATACCGTAAGACATTTATCTCAACAGAACAGATGAGGCTTTTTTCATAAGAAAAAACACATTCTTGAAAACACTTCCTTCAAATCAGAACTGACTACGTGTGAAGGCAATGTTTCTCGCACATTTGTTTTTGGTAAGAGGTTAACAAAGCAAGCTGCTGAAATTCTACGCTTTCGGCATCCTTATGAATTTTATTTTAAAAAAATATATCAAATGGACATGAATTTATACAGTTTGTTTTACCATTTTATTATACTGATCAAGCTCTTAAATATGCCTAAGCAGCTGGAAAAATAAAGATGTATGCTGGAAAGCACAGTACAGCACAACTTATGAATCATCTTTGACTACATCATTTTACTTACAGAGGAATTCATCAGCTCTTAGTGATGGATCCAATCCAAAGCTTATCAAACTGAATTGATAAAATTGAGAAGCAGATTTCCTTGGGCTCTGGACAGGGGTCTGTATGGCCAGGATGGACTAGTGGGGTGAGAACAGAATTGGCATCAGAGGCACAAAAGAGAGTGAGAGGAAAGAGATGTGAAAGATGGGGTGTGCGCTTTTCAAGTTACTGGATTTGGGAAGAGAATGAAATACTGTAGAGGAGACACAGAGGTTCACAGGTTGTGCTTCTTCATGTTGGGAATGGAGACAGAGAAAAGGAGCATCCACTTGGAATAGGGTTTGAGAATAAACTTCTTTCTTTATCCTGGCTTCTGCAGTGCTATGTTTGTGGATGCTCACAAATCCTATCCCAAGACAAGGCACAGGCACACCCGTCTGAAAATAAACAAGTGCTGTATCAGTGCTACTTCTCTTCATCATCAAGATGTGTCCAGCAATCTGCCTTTTAGACCATTACCTAATGAATTTCAAGCTGCATTCTTTGAACAAAGCAGCTGCTCAGTGCCCTTCAGCTCATCGCTAATGTACTTTAAACATTAGTTACTTTCTCCTGGAGGAATGCACATAAACCAGTACATCACGACTGCATCATCATTTCTAGCTCTTTATTTAGTTCACTTAGAGCAAGTTGAATAGCCCAAGGCTCATATTTTCATAATTTTCCCACTACTTGGCCAGTGGATGTGATGAACAGAGTTTGCAGCAGAACAGGAAGCCTTCTGCAAAGGAAGAAAAGCCCATAATCGAATAATTTTCACTGCCTCACTAGGACTGTTACAGTTTACTTTGCCTTTCTCCTCCAAGGGAGGACTGATGGATACTCGTCATACAACTTGAAAAATAAGGTATCACAAATGAAGGGCTAATCTGAAAAATATTCATGCACTGAAAAGGGAAAGGTGGGGCAGTTTTTCATCAGCACTCGCTTTCCCTGGAACATCAGCGGGAGGAAGGGTCAAAATCTGCGTGTATGACGTTGAAAATGTCTTGCATTTACACGCCTTCTCAGAGCTACCCGATGCGCTTATTTGTAACGACTACTCTGAGTCACTACATGGGTCCTGGAGACGATAAGAACCAGATTCTGTGGTCTGGCTCATACAGAGTTGGAAAACGTCTTAGAGAAAGAGGGTTTAGATGCATTCAACAGTGATCAAACTCTGCTCTCATTGAAACAATCAGGATATTTAGCATGATTTCAGGGCAAGCACAGCTAATCTGCAATGCTCTGAAAATCCCATCCCCAGGCTACAGTGCCTGATCGATAAAATACGAATTTATTTGGTCTGCCGCATTTACAAATAACAAGGAAGACTTAGACTCTTAGTTACTCAGATCACAGGAGTTACTCAGGATTTAGAGCAGCCAAGCTTTTCTAGAACATGATTTTATCTACAGTACTTTTAAGGTTCCATTACCAAACAGAAAATGGCCCTAAAATACCAATTTCTGCACTGTTTTAGCAAATAGATTATGGTTCACTGATTGCTGGCTAGACAGGAAAGAGAAAAAGAAGGACATACACTTCTGATTTAGGTGATTTTCCCTCTTCCTTGGTAAGGGCTAATCAATTTTTGCTGATCAATCAAGCTTTAGCATACCTTTTTGTTTTCCATCATATGCTTAGGTTTTTTTTTTCCTGAAGAGTTGTTTCAATCGCTTTCACTTTTGCAGTGTTAAGATTTCTTAACCACCCCTGTAGAGCATAGCCGTGCGTTTTCAAGTCTAAGGACAGCACTCAACAGTCTGTGGACCACCACAAACTCATTTTGTTTCTATTCTTTCATATTGAAAGAAACAGTGGAAATTGTGTTTTTGCCAAATTGACCAATCGGCTAATGGAAATCAGCAGAGACAGAAACCTGATAAGCAAAACTATATCCTCCCAGGTCAAGGCTTTCATCCTACAACCTTTTTTAACCTGGTCTGACCATCCTTGTTGCCTGTGAGGTGACAAAATAATGCCTTACTGTTGTTAAGTAATAGCAGTCTACGGAGAAATTATCTTTTTAGCGCAATCTAGTGGACTCAAGGATGCAAACCATATGAAAGTGTGTTCCGTGCGTGGTTATCTGGAGGCTGTCGTCAGTCTATCTACGTGAATGGAAGTGGAAAGAGGAGTAGTTTCTGAATGTCAATTTGGAACAGATAAAGCAAAGAGTTCCCACTTCATTAAACACAATTGAGTCATACAGAAACTAGAAGGAGGAAAAAAACCCCAAACCATGTACTAATATCAAATCATAACTTGCTTGTCACAAGCTTGTTGCTGTAGTTTAGATGGTGTGTTGGACAGAAATGAAGGGACTGTATACCTGCATGGAAAAAATACTTTGCTAAGGTAATGACGTTGACTTCACAATTCTTATCAAGGGCTATCAGCAGACAAAACGCAATGCTTAAAATTAACCTTTGAACATGAGCAGAAATGGTCATGTGTGCAAGTTAAGTGTCTGATTGCTGACGTACTTGAGTATCCAAGGGAGAGCTGTAGATTCCCACTACTCTGATATAGGTCAACATTAAAAAGTCAACTGTTCACAAACTTTGTTCTCACAGATGACCCGTAATTCACACTCACTTAAGAACAGGCATAAAAGGGTGATAACTACTGAAAGATATTGATAATGTGTTTCGAGAGTCACAGTATACATCTTATAGTGGAGTAAAAATTCATGTGTATCATTATTTTCACAGTGCTTATTTGGGCTTTACAAGCAATGTTCTGAAGATGAGCACACGTATCGGGGGGGGAAAAATATGGAATTAACTCCCAGAAAAAATATTATTGCACGTTTTTTCTTTGGTATTGAGCGGCACAGCTCTATAGCAGAATTGAGGTTCACTTCATAGCAATCTCCACTTTTATCTCATTTATCTGTACCTCAAAACAATACTTTAAAAACATTTTAATTTATATGACACAGATGAATGTATATTACCTTTGCTATATCCTCTTGGAATGCCACCAAGTTCAAGTACGATATATTGACCAGGTCTGGACCATAGACGACAGTTATCATTCGATTTTCCAGTCGACCTCCTAGGTTCCCAGCATCCAACAGTTCGCGCAGTTTTGGATCCTGCAGGTAAATACATTACAAAAGAGTTAAAAATCTTTTCCAAATACTTATACTAAAAGAGGTGGATATTTTTGCATATACTTCAATTTTGAAAACTTGTGTTATTTTGAACATTTTAAATGTGATGGCACCAGGTTCGGATCCAGTTAATTATTCATTAAAATATTTAAAGTTACTAAACCAGAATAAAAAGAAAATCACTACTGTAAATCCTTCAAAGCCTTTGAGCTCTGTATTACAGACTAAAAGCTGTCCAGTTGATGGCTGCACATTCCTATTCTCAGTTATTTTGCCTCAGAAGTTAAGCATACATAAACTGTTTTGCTTGTCAAAATAACACAACCTGTCCAAAGGCTACTGGCCTCAGCAACGAGATTCTCTATGATTTTAACGGATTTTAGATAAAGCTCAATATGAGAACTTAGTTTTGCCTAAGGAATTAAGACTGTCTGGAATTAACTGTTGTGAAGGAAAGATATATTTAAAGACTTTTATCAGCTAATAATAGCTTGAACCTCAGCTTCGTTGGTAGCAAAAGCATATGAGAAACAATTTCAGGTTATTTTGCAACTCTACTAGTTTCTGTTAGGCTCTAGCATTTCCAAGAAATGCAGTCGGTGTTTTACAAACTAAGAAAACTGCTTGGTCCTTGGCCTCCACATGAAGTTTATAAAGGCAAAGACAGATGAAAAGAAGCCCTGCGTGACTGAATTCAATCATTTGAATACAGCCAATATAATTTGAAAGCTCGGGTTTCCTAAAAGGCAAGATTTTTCAGTCTGGTACAAACACTAAAAGATGGCCAGCAAATACTATCACCATGGGATGACAGATTCTGTGTAGAGATCAAATGATTTCAAAACTGACACAAATATATACTGCAGCTGCCATTTCACTCTCACATGAACATTTCTCCCTCACTGTCTGCATGTGTTTAGTGTTTATGGTACTACTTCATATTTCATAATTTTTGAATAAGAATCTAAATCTCCACCGACTGATACAAATTAAATTTAGTGTAACAGGATGATAAGCTTAAGATGACGAAAGGGGCCATTTTTCATGGATCTCGCAGGAAAACCTATATCAACAAGAGCTCCGTCAAAAGGGCATCTCCTGATCGGTATCATATCTGCTTGTAGGCAATGGAGTTACGCATATGTTCACCAAATACTTCACAAGGTTTAGGAGCGCATTTTGAAGTATGGCATATTAACCGGAAAGAAACTACAAGGCTGTCTATCATAAAATGCTGAGCCTCATTAAATACTGGGTATGATGGCAAGTGTTGCAGGAAAACAGACAGAATAATCCTATTTGAGGGTTCTGTAAAGAAGGAATATGATTGTGCTCCGAGACAAAGAAGATTTCATGGGTAAACAAGTTAATGTCAGGCTTTCACAGAAGAGGAAAACAGAAGAGGCATATAAAAATAGTAGTTGCGTTCCAGAGATGGGAATCTGAAGGAGAAAGACAAAGAAACTGTGTTAATTTACATCTAGGAGAAAAGCTAGAGCAGTGCCCTGAAGATGCTAAGTTAGTGATGGTGTATTACTAGATGGGTTATTTTCTCTTTTATTTACAGGCTGAATGTTACAAAGCGCTGTTTAATTTCTCTGGGAGATGAGAGCTCGTCTGCTTTTTACTCTCTACCATTTCCAACCCAAAATCAGACTGATAAATGCTTTTGCTAAAGGGCCTGTCTGTGAAGAGCATCATTCTTTCTGAACTCAAACTGAACAGGATTGTCTATCTGGTTTTATTCTCTTTCACATATTTGTCATTCCTTTCTTCCCCTCCCTGGCTGAACCTCTTGCTCACAGTTTCACTCTTGGTGATGAAATGCAATCAGATCAACAAAAGAAGAAAGAAGATAACCTTTTTCCTTTGTATTTGTAGTCAACTACAGGATGTCTCTATGATGGATCGTACTCGAGTTAGACTAAGGTACACATTAGCCATGCATCACGGAATAAAAAAGGAACATATTTGAAATGGGATGTTTTTCTAAAGCAAATTCATCAAAAGAGAAGTTAATCTGGGACTGGATCAATAAGGTTTTTAGAAGTGCAAAGTAAGTGGCCACTGAGGCACCGTGAGTATGAATTTGGTCTTCCAAATCACAGGATTTTTCTCCAGGTTTTGAAGGCAAGAAATCAGACAGACCATCTTCTTTGGGTTGTTGGGTTTGGATGAGTAAAATGTAGAATTCTTCTATTCTGTTTAAGACTTGCCTAATAAAGTTGGAAGCACGCAGGCCCTTACGGCAATAACATTATCTGGCTGCCATCCAGCACCTATTAATAAAGGGCATACACTGCATATCCTGGGCTATCTCCATGTAACCTGCAATGTGCTCCACAGACTTAAAATAGTGTTTTTATTATAAGTTCAGTGAAAGCTAATAATTTTGATACTAACAGGATTCACGCCCTTTTTGACCCCTGCCATGGGTGTATTTGCCCTGTAAGTGTGACAGCTTAGCCCTTAACTGATGATCTAGGTCATATTCTTTGGTCCTTAGATCTGGAGCTCTCAAACTTAGACACCAAAGCACACTGTCAGCTCTTCACATTTCTCATGAACAGCTCTGCTCCCTTATTACCACACTTAGCTGCAAATACTACTAAGGAGATGAGAAAAATATCCTTTACAAAATCTTGAAGACTGTTGAGGTCTATGAATCAAAGCCCTTTTTAAAACGTCAGCAAGTTTTCCTGTGAAGATGACAGCAAAGCACATGGGGAAAAAAACAAGCAGCAAGACCAAATTTAGCTTCTTTCATGTAAATCGGATTATTTTGATTTTGATAATTCCATTTTAAGGAACGAGACTGAAAGTCTGCTGCTGTTTGGAGCTGCAGTTGATACACCGGCTCATGAGCGGACAGATTGTTTTTTGGCGTAAGCTCTTTGCTAGACTGGGGCCTTATTACGAACATATTGAGCTCTCTGAGAGACATTTAGAAGAATTATACCTATTGAATATTGATTATAGTAATTTTTTAAACGCCTGAGCTACTGAAGCTCTATCATGTTAGGGAACATGCCCATGGGATGCTCAATGAAAAGCAGGCTATTGACAGTGCCCACGTAACTCATCAAAGCTGTCTTTGTAGCACAAAGATTTATTAAGTCTGGTTTGATGTTTTCTGGCAAAGCAGCATCCTTTTGCCTCTTTTACTCAAAAGGTCTAGGTGTCAGCTTGCTTTTTCCCTTCCACTACATTCTACCAGGAGCTTCAGCTCAAGGACTGGAGCTGCCTGAAGACTTGCCCTGAAACCAGGTCAGGGAAGCCAGTGTTTCTGATGGGACACCTTTGTGGTTAAAGGGCTGGCAGATTCCCGGAGGGAGATGTGAGTTGTGAGCAGGCACATACAGAGGAGGTGACAAGGATGGTATTGGCAGCAACAAACAGCTTTAGAATCCATTCAAAATAAGATTAACCATGTCAAATTGAGGTAAGAGTTGGCCAGAGGGGTATCTGCTCATTTGGTAAAAAGCTCTCCCTATTTGGTTTTGCTGTCTTGACAAAACTATCAAAAGAAAATATACCTTAAGTCAATCCAAAACAGAAATAGAAAAAATTAGCCAGAAACATGGGGGCGGGGGGGAAGCTTATGGAATTCCTACAACGTTCATGAACAAATGCTGAGTAGTGATGTTTTGTTAGAAACTAGGATCCTGTAGACAGATGAAGAAAAATAGATTAAATAGATTTCAATCAGACTTCCAAAACTTTCTCCTGTTGTATTTTCCTTCCACTGGAAATCATAAAAATAATGTAAACTTAAAGAGGCTATTCAGCCACATTTAATGACAATCTCCATGAAAACTGCTTTCAGCTGTTATTGGTGTTATTAAAATGTAGCTCTTAACACTTAAATTCCAATTAACATGTGCTCTGCACGCTACAGTAAATGCCATAACATCTATTAATAGTATGCCCATGTCTTTAAACCTTTTTCTGAAAACTTGCAACACACCATCTGTCTGGGAAAATTTTCTGGTTTTTTAATACATTGCCATACATATGTATAAAAGGCTGCCACGCAGTTCAATAAAACTCAAACACCGATTTAAACGCACCAAGGGGCAGCGGGTCAGCCAAGGTTTCACCTCAGCCATTATGTACCACTCTTTGTAACTCATGCTTCTCAAAGCTGCAGCACCATCTCTGAGAGCTGCTGTCTCTGATCCCAGACGTACATTAAACAGTAAGAGAATCTGTCCGATGCTAAAGATTTTCCTTAGGGTTTAATAGCTACAGACAATGGGATGGCCAAACCAATGATTATCAAAAGACTCAGCCAGAACTTCTGGGTTTCTAGAACAGTTGTGCAATTAAAGTACTGTAGGAATTTTTTTTGGTGCTTGAAGACATTAATTTACAATGCAAACAATCTAAAGGAGCCATTATAGACTAAACTACACGTACAGGCTACATGCAGCATGTATTAGATTATGTATACAACATTCACTCCTGTGCTCACCAAATGTCATACACCCCCTGCCCCCAAACAGCTATCAACTGAAATCATTTTCTCACACATCTCATGTAGCAAAACATTGCCTTTAAGATGTCAATTAAATACTTGAGTCCTACTGAAGCTGTAGGTATGAAAGGCATCCCAAAGCCTCCAAAAAGTAATGTCTTAAAAAAAAAAAAAAAAAACCAAACCCAAAACCCACCCCAAAAATAACCCCCCACCAAACCCTATACACAAACTCAGTGTTTATCAGCTATTTTCACTACTTCTGTCAATCTGACTTGCAATTTCCAGATGCTTTCTAGCACTAAAAATATGCCACATTCCTTACTTTAAAACACTGTATTTAATAAAGCAAAAGTTTCAGTAAAGCAGGGTTGGGCAGAACTGTACATTTTGTTGTAGATTTTTTTACCTGCATTTCATAGTTATATAGGTACTTCAGAACTCCCTAGACTCCATATCATAATCCCAAGTTGTTATAGTTGTGCCTTGATAACTTCAAGATTAG